GTTTGATCACCATTTTATTTTTAATAAATATGTTCCTTTTTGTATCTAGTTTCTTGACTATATTTTCAATTAGATTGGATTGATACATGTATTTATTTCAATGTTATTGTGTATTTTAGTTGGTAAATAAAGTTGTATATATGTGGGTTTTAATAATCCAATCTATTTAAAAGTGTTCCTTTTTGTTTCTAGTTTCTCCACTATATTTTCAATTAGATTGGATTGATACATGTATTTTAGTTGATAAATAAGGTTGTATATATATGTTACCTTTAATAATCCAATTTATTTAAAAGTCTTACTTTTAAATAGGTTTATAGGTCAAACTGGGCTTTAGGTAGGTTCAAGCTTGAGCCATAAAAAAAATTTTATATAGGCTTCAAGTTAAATTCAGGCATCTAACTTATTCTATATGTTTAGGCTTATTTGTCTAAAGCCTAACTCGACTCAACCTATTTTTACCTCTGGACAGACGAAGTACTATTTTTCTTTTATAATAGATTTAATTCTGTGTGTTGCATAGTTTTTTATTTTAAAAAGATAATTGAAGTAATAGAGATAACAACATTTACAAAACACCAAATGAAGTAAAAATGTTCTGATGTTAGAGAAAACAAAGTTTAGGTTTGACATGTATTAAAATTTTAGAGTAGACTGAATAAATATTTGATTTAAATCATCTGCTTCATCATCCAAAATGAAATTGCCTTATTAATCATTCCAAAGTCTTCTTCAAAAACAATGACATTGTGAGTTAAAGATATGTTAAAGATATAGGTTTTATATATAAACCAAAACTTTGCAATCTTATGCTTTATTACATGTAACAATTAGATTTCACTAATTTATCAAATAATTCTTTTTAATAAAGTAAAATAATTGTCATAATTAGGGACAAGACAAAGAAGAGGCAAGGCTTCAAGAGAACAATTAATAAATCTACATATATAATATAAAATTTATAGAAAACCACACTATTAATAAACCATGAATAGTGCAATGCCAATGGAACATGAGAGTGCTAAAATAGTACACACTAATCGTGTGAGGCACAAGCTTGATAATTGTCCTTGACATGTGATTTATTTGCTAGAGCACATTGAGAGTGCTAATGCTGGCTACCATACATATAAGACGATTCACTAGGTGTGACTAATGCCTTGTTTGAGGAAAAAATGTTGACAAATTTTTTGTGAAAATCTGAACAAAAATTACACCCAGTTGAAAGTTAACAAACAAGGGAGTCGCACAGTAGCATTGGTTAACAACGAAATTTAATGTTGTCTACAGTAGAAATGTGAGGAAAATTTTCGTTCATTTAAATTTTAATAAAGAAGAGAGTTGCACAGTAATTGAAAAGAATGAGATTAGAAATGCAAATTATACTGGACATGCATGGGTTAAAAAGTAGTAATTTTGTTTATTCATAATATAAATTTAAATTAATAACAAATCTAAAAGTAACAACGAAGTAATTGTAAGAAAATAGCTTAAAATAAACATAAGTACCACTCCCAACCTACGAAAAATAAGATGTTTACATTTAAAAATTTCGAAGACCATTAGCAATCCAGCAACATATTAATTATAAGCAAAAGCTTAAAATAATAAACATCAGTACCACTCCCAGCCTAGAAAAAAAGATATTTATATTTAAATTAACATAACTGGTTACCAACAAAGGCACAACCACACCCAACATCGTTATTTTATTCCAATGATATAAAGACAAGTGAGATTTTAAAGAATCACAACAGTTCTGTCCTCGCTGTTTTGTTGCTGCAGGAGCCTTAAACTCATAATCAACTTACTGTTGTTTTTTGATGAACCAAAATCTCTTTCAATTGGTAGTAGAAGTTCCCCGAATAGAACCCCGAAGAAGACATGGTGCCACACCTGCGTAAACTGAATTTCAATTCTTTAACAGCTACTTTAAAAAACTCTTAAGGTTTTTTGGTTGAAAATAAACATTCCTAGGCTGCATTGTTGAAGGCTAGCTGGAAGAAGGTCGCCCTTATTGTATGAAATGACTACAACGTCTACCAGTGATTTCCCTTCTCGATCTGTTCCTACAATTTGTTTGTTAAGTTATCTACACATACTCCCTGGTGCTTCCCCCCAGTGAAACTCCAATGTCTTTTGGATCATAATCGGCCCCGAAGCATTTAGAAGGTTTCATTTGGAGAAGATAAAGGTTGAAGATCAATCCACCGAAGCAAATGTTCCAGAAATTATATGTGATCCCAAACTCAATTAGCTATAGTTAGATAGATCTTTATGGACTGAAAAAAAATAGAATTACAGAAGCAATCCACCAGTTTAGCGGCATTGTTTCATAGATAAATAAGATACTAGTACAAAAAAGAAGACACATCAGCTATTTGAGATGCAAGTAGCCTCGTCTACTCTTTCAGCTTCATTTACATTCTTTCTTTCGTTTTTTCTAGCTTTTGATCCAATTTTACACTTCATTACTACAATGTAACTATAATGAGCATTAACAAAGAGAATCCCAATGCTAAAAAAAAATTAGTTACACATTTTTCTTTTCGTATAACTACTTTGCCTTTTCGATTGTGTTATGAATAGAAAAAGAAACTTTAATCCTCAAAGTAAAACTGACAGTTAAAATTCTGGAAAGAGAAACAATGTAAAAATAAGCAGCATTCCACACTCACCCTCCAGTACAGCTCAATAGTAGAATTGGCTTTCTGAATTCCAATTCTCCAAAGGCCACCAATTCTGGACTCATTGCTGACTCTGCCTTTCCTTGTATTCTTGAAGGCGAGGCACTTCCTGGATGCTCTGAAGTAGCAGCTCCGTTAGCTGTAATTTCAAAATAGCTCCAGCCAAGTCCCTGGCATGATACCCAACCATGGCAAGGTACCTGAAATTTATTGAAGACATCAAAACTCAGAGGTAAATTCAGATTGATGCACCAAAAGAAAATGCATTAAATGTTCAAAAGATTGACTTTGCAGCAAAGCAATGCAAACCTTTGGTAGCTTCTTCAAATTTATATAAGCCTTTGCAATTGAAAATCAATTGATGTGAGATTATGTATCAAATCTATCACAGAAGTCTGAAGTACGAAGACAAACCTACGTTTAAAGTAGCACTTCTTTAGAATAAGCAAGAATATGGAAACGTCAAAAATTGACATACCGACAGCAATTGGCTACTTCACAATGCAATGGACCAGTAACCTGCAGACCAATAAATGATACATTATTTTAAGCACAAGGAACTATTCCAAGAGATACAAAATCAAAATTCATGCCTGTTGTAAAATCAAAGTGCAAGCTTCACTGAGCATGCCCTGAAACAGAAAAATAATAATTATACAAAATGACAAAATTTCTCAGAAAATAAATCAAGGCAAGCATCAAACATGCACCTTTTTGAACATTTATGCCTTCACAGAAAGGGGTAGCCATTTCAACACTACACAAATTTAAGCATCTCGACAAACATAATTAAGACAATCCCACGTTAAGTAACATAATTGCTTTAACTCGCCAGAATTCAACCCCAAAATAATGAACAACCATTTTTATTTTTTTTCCTTTTTGGTCATCTTCCACAAAGATTCACTTAAAAATAAAATCAAATTTCAATTCATACAAAATAAATAGTATCACTTTGTCATCTAAAATATGCAAAGCGTTACAAATGACATTCAGAAATAGTATAAGAATTCGTAAACGCTACAAATACCTCAGCTAGTTGAAGTTTTTCAATTTCCACTATAGATATTTGATGCTTCACAAGAGGACGGAGATCCAAGATATTTGATATTTGAAAATAGTTTAAAGACAAGTAATTATAGGGTGAGATTTGATTAAAAATATTTTATATTTTTTTTAATGAAGGGAATATTTCTCGCATATTTTCTCATATTTCTCTTCCCATATCAACGCTTATTAGATACAAAATTGTACAAAGTGTAGTTTATAATTATGAATTAAAATTTTAAAAAATAAAAAATTTAAAAATTAATAAGACCAATTCAACCAATTTTTCAATAATTTTGTGTAGTTTATGTCTGGTCAACCAGTCCCTGACCAATTCTCAGATTAGGCTATTTTTTGTGGTAATGGGACTGAAATTAATTAGGATCAGTTTGCGGTTGAATTAGTTGGTATGGCTCAGTTCTAAAAAATACTGATTTTCAGTTTTTCGCAGTTGTCATATATAAAAATTATAGAAGATATTAAAATATGAATGGAGAACCTAAAATAATTGAACTTTAATCCGTAATTTAAATATTAAAGCTCGCTTTAACTAAAGGCCATAAAATTAGGAAGGAGGTTGGCCGGGCCAGCAAAAGAAGACTCCTTCGCCCACTCAATCCAAAACCCCACCTTTTTTTTATTAATATTATTTAAGTCAGAGCCTGTCACGTTGGAAGAAGCGCAGTTGCGTGCTGCCACAGTTGACGGTCCACGCCTATAATCTGTCCCGCTTCATGCAAGTCCTATTTCACGATGAAGAATGAAGAATGCCTCTTTTCAAAATATCACGTTAAAAGGCCTATAGGTAGTTGCTTGTTATGCGTTATCAATATAAATATCCTCCGTTTGATTCTATTTACAGAGGTGAAGAATTTTTTTTTTAAATTTTATTTATAAGTTATATTATTAAATTTTTATTATAAATTTTTTTATCCTTTATTAAATATTAGAGTAAGAAAATATATTATTAAAATATGTATATTTAATAAGGATAAAGTTAACAATTTATTAAATTTTAAAATAAAAATAATAACTTTTAAATTTTTTTAATATTAATAAAATATATTAAAAATAATTTATAAATAAAATTAAAAAAATAAATATAATAATAATAGAACGGTCTCTTTCTCTTCATCATTGGAGATCAAAAGTCTTCGAGAAGGATCAACGCTGACCCAAACACGTCTTTCCTTTCACTTTCCTGCTGCCAAGTGCCAACTATATAAAACGTCTCATCTGAGCCTCAGGTGTGCAGACAGAATTTGGGTTCTCTTTCAAAAATGGATATGGGCAAGTACTGGTGGGGTTCGCGCAGGGAAGTAACTCCAACCATCCGGTTAGGCCGCAGCTACACCTACTACGGCGGCTACGCTAAACCGCACCCCCGGGGATATTGGTCGGGAAGCCATGGCAAAACAAAACCGACAGTGTGGCAGGTGCTTCTGAGAAAACTCGGGTTCAGGAGAGATCGATCGAAGAAATTGTCGAAGTCTCGTGGCGGCATGGAGGGCACTTATAATCAGCAAACTTACTCCTTGAATTTCGATCAAGGATTGGGTTGGATGGAAACCGACAACCTCTGTCGTTCCTTCTCTGCTAGGTTTGCCGTTCCATCCTCAAGAATTTTCCCTCCCACCCATTTGTTGGATTGTTGAGCTCACATTCTGCATATGAGTTTGCCATTCTTTTTTCTTACTTCAATCTCAAATTGGATCCACTTGTATAATTCTTTTTCCCCGTCATGAATGCTCAGACTCTCGTTTTGATTATATTCTTTTGCTTTGATTTCTGATGCCTGGGAGATCCAAGTGTGTTGGATCCAGTGTCCATTACAATGATAAAAACATAATGACATGGGTCTTGAGCTTTAAAAGAGTAAAAACAGACTTTCACCTATGGCTCCCCTGCTTTATCTTTTCTGAGTTACTGCTAATAGTATGCTATGATTTTGGTTTATTGCGCGGTATATGAAAGGTTGTTAATTCATGACAATCAATTGATTAACCAATGTAATCATAATTTTAATTAATATAGAAAATAAAGAAGAAAGACAGCAAATGAGAAACGGGGCACAGAACTTCCTACAAGATAACAAATGAGCCTGAAAATGTATAACCCGATGAATAAGGATTTGAATTTAATGATTATACTTAGTACAAGCATTGAGTGTCTATATTATTTGAACAGTTGAAATTTAGCTTAACCCGTTCAAATAAACTCAATCATTTATTAATTTTAAGTGGAATATAAAGTTATAATCATTAATTTAAATTTTAACGATTCAGATAATACACGCATTTAGTGTTTGTACTAAATATGGTTACCAAATCCAACTCGGATAAATAACTATGTAAATTTGCTTCATAAAATTTATCCTCCCAAAGTCCAATATTTTAGCTTTAAGCAAGAGATCAAAATCTTCAAATAATTTTAGCCCAAATCGAGTGTGACGGGGATGAAAAAAATTAAAGATGATTTTAGTAAATAGAATGCTATGGAAATTTACTACCTTTCTTAAGCATCAGGCAAATAAAGATGCTGACGGACCTCCTTGGCTTAGTGTACGTTTTTCTTTGAAGTGAAAAAATGAAAAAGCACCACTGTTTGTTGACAGCCTTTAACACCGAACATTTTCTAAGGATGTCAACAATTACATTTACAGGCAATCACTTTCTGCACTAGAGTCATAACAATTGAGGCAAACAGGGTTTGTTCCTATTCGTGTTTCAAATTGGAATCCCGCAATTAATTAAATCTGTTGCCAATTCTATTCCTGTTTACCCAATGGCATGTTTCTCTTTCCCTAAGAAAACATGTCAGGATAGTTTGGTATCTGATTTTTGGTGGGGTCAGAAAGCCAATGATTGTAATAAAATTCATTAGAAAAATTGGGAAAGAATGACACAATCAAAATGGGAAGGGGGCATGTGTTTTAGGAACTTCCAATGTTTTAATGAAGCTTTACTTGCCAAGACTGCTTGGAGAATGATCTAGCGGCCTGATGAATTTTGGTGCGGGGTCCTTAAAGGGAGATATTTTCCTACTTATTCCATTTTGAATGATGTAAAAGGAAATAAGGCTTCATGGGTTGGTCTAGTATCTTGAAATGGCGTGATTTATTATTGAAAGGGGCTATTTGGAGGATTAGGGATGGTATGGATGTAAGGGTATGGTATGATAGGTGGATTCTTGGGTTGGAAAGTGGTACGTTGAGTAGGAAAATTTGATTGAGGATGAGAAGAAGATTAAGGTAGCTGACCTTATGAGAGATGATCAATGGGATTTGTCCTTATTCAGTGGTTGTATTTCTGATGCTGAATTTGATTTTATTTTGCAGATTTTCTTCTCCCAGCATCATCTCTCGGATAAATTGATTTGGCAACATATGAGAAATGGTTCTTATTCAGTCAAGTGACTCAAGTCGGGCTGCCCCTTTGCCTTGCATCAATTCAATTCTACTCCTTCTAGTAAGCCGTCTTGGTCCTTCTGATTATCTCGGCATGTATGGAAGAGTGTTCGGAACTTGCAGGCCCCTCCTAAGATTCTGCACTTTGTGTGGAGGGTGTTGAATGGTGCTCTTGCTACTAAGGATGCACTATTCAAGAGGAAGTGTTGTACTTCACCTACTTGTCCTATATGTGGGCGTGATGCTAAAATTACTGAGCATTTATTGCTCTTATGTTCATGGGTAAAACACTGCTGGTTTGGATGTTCATTGAGCTTTCTGATTGATAAGAATAATGTTCGAAGTATTGAGGAATGGTGGGCAGACTTGCTTGTGGGAAGAAAGGACTTAATGAGTTTGACAAGAGTTTCTTGGCTTTTTTGGGTTGGGAAATTTGGAAGGAACGATGTGAGATGGTGTTTACTGGCAGAAATGTTAATGCAAGGAGGGTGGTTGACAAAGCTTCATGGGCCGCGGAGGAATTTTGGAAAACTGAGAAGTCATGTCTTGTTTCTGGTCAAGTTGGCTTTGCTTCTCGGAGAAATAAGGTACGTTTTTGGTGCCCTCCTCCATTGGGTGCAATAAAGATTGATATTGATGGTTCTTTTTCTGCACAAAAGAAAGTAGGGGGTATTGGGATAGTTTGTAGAGACAATGTAGGTGCCTTTCAAGGACGCATTTCAAGAAAGGTGATTGTGGCTTCAGCATTTTTAGCTGAATGTCTAGCTTTTAAAGAAGCTTTAGGGGTTTGTCATGAATTTCAAAATGTTGACATTTGTATTAAGACTGATTGTGAGGTCCTTTTCAAGTCTCTTTCTGAGATCCGTTGCAGGTTATGATTGGAAGTATCAAACGCTGCTGCTGGATTGTTTTAATGCTCGAGTCTCAGCTAGGTATTTTCTTTTCCTTGATTAACCGTCAAGGTAATACTGCTGTTGATAACTTGGCAGCTAAGTGTGTGTTGGAGATGTACCCCAACGGGTGGATTGTGGATATTCACCATCGCCTTTGTCCATGTTGATGTTGGCTGACGTAAGAAGTTTCATGAAATCTAGTGGTGTAGTGGATGGCTTGTGGAATCGAGAACGAATAGGTTGAGGATCTGTTATTTTGATGACTGTTCGTTTTCTGGTTTTGTTTTGTTAATAGACTGGATTCTTGGTTTATTTTGTTTTCCTAGGTTGTATGCTTGGTTTGCTTCTAGTTTTTGTGTTTTTTTTTTTATTATTAGTGTGTGTATTAACTCTCTTTCTTTTGTGATTAATAAAATGGGCTCTCTCTCTCTCTTTTTGCGAAAAAAAAAAAATGGAATACCGCAGCCCACATCACATTTGTCTGTTCATATTATATGTGTAGATTTCGTGATTAATGCTGAATTATTCAGGTCCAAAAAGGAGTCGAAATGGGCAATTAGAAATCATAAGCCAAGGTTCAGAGTTTTCAGTATTGATCCCACTGTATAGGGTGTCCCTTTAACGTCTTGTCACATTCTGATATGCGTTAGCACCCAAATGATAATGCATCACTGTACAGAGTCCCTTCTATTATTCGCGCGAGAGAGAGAGAGAGAGAGAGAGAGAGAGAGAGAGAGGATGGGCTGCTGTATGGCATAAAAAGTCATGGGAAAACCAACGTCATTTTTTTTTTTAAATAAATAAAATCGATGTCTTTTGAAAGAATGATTTTTCTCTCGAACCAAATAAAAGTATAATGCATTATACATGTCTCAGATGCATCAACATAAAACACTAACAAAAATAGGAACTACTATATTCCATGAATTGTTTACTAATTGATGGTCTTTAAGTGTTTAGCAGAGCACATAACTTTAAGAACAATAGATTTCTTCGTTTCAGTATCGTACAGAGAGAAATATATATCCTAAAGATTCCATCACTGTTGCCGCTTGCCGGTTGCATGCTTGCATGGTATCTGCTGGTTTTGATCCTTCAGCTCATCTCCAGCCACCAGAAAATATGCAGTGTGCCTGAATTCCAAGAAAGCAGTAAATGCTATATGATGAGTAATCTTCCAACATTTTTTTCCTTTTGCCAATAAATAATCTTGCAACTTTGAAGGAGAAAATATGTACCTAAAAAAGTTCATCATTTTGATCTTGGAGTCATCATCTATATCTGACGTACTATCCAATGCTTGTTGCATGTGATGTAACCACCTCTCTGCTGCTTGATGTGTCACTGGAAATGGTCGATGTCGTGCGATCAGAGCAGGATGTCCTGCCATATATCAACGAGAGATCAAAGGTTAACAAGTTTCTAGGTGATTAATCCAAACTATTTCCAGAAAGAGAACACACGGATTGAATCAAAACTATTCATTCTTAAAGGGTACCCCAGATAACACTTGTTTAGGGAATTACCTAGAATAGTTGACTGCAATTTTGAATTTTCCCACAAACAAGTTTAATCTTATAACTGTCGCGTCAGTATCCCAGATTCTCATTTTGCAGGGTTCAGCCTGAGTCTTTCAGTTTTTGTATTGACTAGGTGAGTTTGCCCCACCCACTCTATCTCAAATTCTCAATTGCTGAGAAAACATTTGAACATAGCAAATGGTTGAGGATTAAAAAATTAGGGAGAGATAAAGCTGTAAAAAACTAAAACTCATTACTCGGAATTCCTCTCTCAACACATTAAGATCCTTGAGATAAAGCTCTGAAAAAATAGATTCACTATTTAGTATGTATTTACTCCTGACCATTTTCGTGGAGTCCAGTCAAGCAATGTATTTCTCAAATTGGGAGCATTGACAAAACAATATTAGTCCTTATTCACCCTTGATCATCAACAAAGATGCTTCAAACCTTCAAAACTGTGAGAGGAAGTATAGCAAAATGGGGAGCGTCGTACATATGTGCCGCCAGAGACTAGCTCATACAAGCAGGCCATCACAATTTATACTGATAGAAAGTGCCGTGGAAACAAATAGCAGCTGTTTCACTAATAATTTCAGAATTTGGCAGCATTCAAAATTTTTAAAGAATATTGGACTCTTACACAGCACAAGGAAGGATCAATAAAGTCAACAAAACAAAATAGTGAAGTAAGCTCACCTCTTCTCTGTGAAAACAGAGGAGGGCCACCCATTCTTTGGACCAAGAATTCGTACTGGTTTTGGATGGCGTTTTCCTTGTTTGAACTGGCAAATATTGAGCGAAACCATTCTTCCTCATCATCATACACCCTGATCCAAATTGTTCAAATCGTCAACGAAATATTCAATCAGACATGTGAGCACGTTCGTAGTCATCGAATCAAAAGAATAAAAAGAAAAACTACAACAAAATATTTTGGAAGCCTTGAGATAAATGAATAGGGTACCTGTTGTAGAAATTAGTGGAGAGGTTAATGAAGGGTTGAAGACCAAGCTTCTGAAAGAGATTGGTGTCATCAATGGCGAAAGCATCGGCCGTAGGAACTCCGCTCCATTCGGAGGCCTTCTGTTGCAGAGTCTGCATCGGAAAACGGCGCTGATTTGGGAAAGACGACGATGGATGGGGAGGGGATCGTGTGGAGGGCACGCTTTGCGGCGAGAAAGAGAGAGAGATGCAGAGTGGAGCGTGGGATGGAGGAAATACGCAACTTATTAAAAAGTCTTGGAATCCGAACAGTTCATTCACTGAACCATGAACGCCGATTCCCAATTCCTTCCATAACAGAACATCGTGAGTTCACGATGTCGTCACTATTTTTAATAGTACTTACGTATTCGGTCGTATTCACGTTGTTTCGGGCCCACAACCCTCGGGTACAATGCAGTTCGGTTTTTGTGGGTCTAGTCTGTAGAGCCGGAAACGGTCTGGTGATTGCTAGGCTCCCACGGCTTAATTCATAAGTTCGATTTTCTTAAAAGTAGGATTTTTTTAAAATCAGTTTTTACTTGAAGGGTTGAGGACCAATCCGTACACTTTATATTTATTTTTTATTTTTATTTTTAAAAATTTTATTTTTTATATTATAAAATTACATATTTTTTTAAAATATAAATTATAAATTTTAAAAATAAAAAATAAATAATACAAATTCTAATTTAAAAATATACACATATATTTTAAAGTTTAATTTAAATTTAATTTAAAAATTGAAAATTTTATTTTGAGTGAAAAACGAAAAAGGCCACCGGGTTGCCTCAGTCTAAATCTGTTTTTATATAGCCTAATAGGGCTGAGTTAAGACGTTCAATCACACTAAAAATTTTAAATTTCTTAAGTCTGAATTTTTATAAAAGTGTGTTTAAATAAGTGGTCCATCTTGTGTAAAAAAAAAACGTATTTTACATCTTAAAATATGAACGCGAAGCTCTAGGCAAAACAGAAAGGGAAAGATTTGGGCCTTATTTGGGTCAGGTCAAAGCATGTTCGGCCTTTCAATAGCCTCTTTTTATAAAAGACATTGGCCTAAAAGCTCGAAACGGAGATAAATGTTACAAACTGAAGACCATGGTGTACAAGCCCAGAATTTTAAATTCGTGGACAGTTTTGAAATTTTTGACGAGGATTGGTACCTCACATCTTACAAGTGTAATTACGAGGAGTCAAATCGTTCAGTTTGCATCAATCACACATGCACGCAAAAAAAAAAAAACAAAGCAAAACAAAACAAAACAAATAAAAACATGAGAAAAAAAGAATAATTTTCGGTAAAGTATTGATGTATGTGAAATGGTTTGAAAAATTTAGAATGCATTTAGTGATGAACAAACGGAAGGGGAGAAGTGAATGATAATAATGATCTGAATTAACTAGAAAGAAAATTAAACATGACTATTACTGGCATAATTTGATACTAATAGTTAAAGAAAACAATTACTTCAGCTAGTAATTAGGCATATTTATCGGTCTCGCTATCCTAATATGTCATGAACGTGCTATATTACACACAAGAATGCCTTGTAAGTGAATTTCCGCTGTCCATTATCCTCACTTTGTTCCTTAAATTCCTTGCCAGGAAACGTGTCCAGAAAGAGAGTCTTTTGAGTTTGGGACACTTCAGGATCTGCGAAAGAACATATCTTTTCAAGAAAACGCAGTCTTACACGCAGCAAGCTTCGCTTGTTTTTTCCAACCTAACATATCTGTTCATGGATTGAACAATAACTGCAAGAAAACGCACATATCATCATATTAGACTATAAGGCTTCGCACCAAAATTCTAGAAAAGTAACTGTAGTGAGCGACTTATTCCAGTGAACCCTTTTTGCCTATCTTCTATACACACACACACACACACACACACATATATATATGGTTTTCTATATATTCTGATTGATAAGACAATTATACATACATGAAAAATCCTTCATGTGTTAAATTTCTAGTGAAGCCTATCTGTGTGTGCGTATATGCTTTTCTATTTTGATAATATAAGGCAACTTATCTATGAAAATCCTTTCTGTTAAAGAGCAGCTAACCACGTACTCTCGTGTGTGTATATATATATATAGTACGTACTCTTTTGGAAACAAACTTTATGCCAATAAAATTTATTGGTCGTTTTTTACATTATATATATATATATATATATATCTATTGTTTCTGATAAAAATCATATGATTTGTGCATTATTATTTATTAATTAAATACTTGACAGTATTGCAGTCTAAATATTTTATTTTGAACTGCTTGACGAGTATAGCTCTACAAGTATGACTTAAAACCTCACTTAGGGTTAGGGTTTTGCACTTTGCTTCGCCTTATTTCTCGTGACAAATACCCGTCAACCACTTCACCATTAATTGACAAAGTCGTTGAAAAATTTATAATCATCAGTCGTATTAAAAACAACATAATCTTGATGGGGAAACATAATCAAAGACGTGTCCTTACATAGTGTCAAAAACGCAATTACATAATATTTTTATTCAATATTCTTGGAGGAATTAATGTACAAGAAAACTTAAATTATACTTATTTTTTTTCCGTTTTGCATCGGAATGAGAAGTGCTCTCGAGCGCAGCTTTGCTTGAATTTATAACTCCTTTCCTAATTGATCTAATTAAAGGGAATTGTTTATACTTCTTATATCAGATATTTAAAAGTTCACTTTTGCTAGAGGATTAATTCTTTCTCGAATCCAAGTTATGAAAAACATATTTTTTTAGATCTTCTATATATCAACTGATGCTAATATATATATATATATATATATCACATGGGATTAATTTTGTAGTCCTACTTGGCATTATAAGAAGCTTACACTTAAAGCATGTACGAAGTTGTGAATTGCATAGATTTTGGTTTTATGACTAGAATTGGATACAAAGAATATATAACCACAAATCAGCCTGCACGCCCCACAACACACACAACAAGGGGGAAAAAACATGAATTCATAGATTGAGAGAGCCATATAGGCTTTGGCTAGCTATTTGGCCGATTCACATACTTCGGCATTCCGATCACTATTAGTTTAATTTTTATGTAGAGACGACCGAGGGATTACTTTGTATTTTGTGCAGAGCGATTATCAAGGGAACTATTCAGGTAGGGTAGTGATCATAGAGGCACCTTTAGCAAAAATATTTGAAGTGTATGATAATAAAGCAACGAACATTGAACATATTGATGCTCTGCAGGTGAAGAAAATACAGATATATACCATCGCCAACTGCTTTTGTAATTGCTAATTGATTACTCAATTCAATTACAAACCAGGTTGCACATATATAATAATAAATAACTAGCCGTTTAAGAACCATTATAAAGGACAGAAATTTATTTCCCCTCCAAATTAGCCTCTCTCACACACACACACACACACTCAACATGAAAGTCCATGTAACCAGGAAGTCTGGTTTGTGCTGATGCAGAAGAAAAGAAGACACACAAGCTAGCTACGGAATACAGAGTGCATTTCCTATAAAGCCCTAACCTCTAAAACCCTAAAAGAACTCCTCTCTATGTGTTAATGTATACATATGTATGTGCATGTGCATGCCATCGGTACATCAGTGCGTTTGAATCTTTAGGCTTTATTATGTCTATCTTTGCGGAAGCGCATAGAGTTTTATTTCTCATGCATATAAGAGATGATTAAGTTTATTATTATCGGAAACGCAATGATACGGATAATATATAATACTGTTATGATCATTAAGTGAAGAACAAGTAGGCCACTGTCGTTGGTTAAGCAGCAATTAGTTCTGGTCTTTCGCCTGTTTCTGAATCTATATATCCTTCCAACAACTGCTTTTGTCATTTATATATTCTATATTGATTCATACAACATATAATCATAATTATCCGGAATCAATCAATCCATGTCCTGGTTGGCTTAGTTGAAATTGAACGAATTATAGGGATGAAAAACAAGGCACAATTCATCATTTCATTGACTATTTACTAACGACTTTAATTTACTGCTGTAACTGCTGAATCTTTTTAGTTTGCAGAATTGCATCTCTTAATTCCCGTAGTTCGGGTCAGGCCACACCAGATTAAACTGACGCTTATATGTTAAATTATGCAATTATATTATATGCTGAACAATGCAGGAGATAATCTTGCAGCGTGTAAATAGGACAAGAGAGAGTTCTTAATTATGATTGTCTGTGTTTTGAAGTCATCAATTTAATTAATTAGTTTTCACAAGTATAACCAATTTTCCCGTCACTTGCGTGTCAGGTCCTCGTAATTCCAATCATCTTTTGATTTAGCAAAGCTTCATGATGAAGATTTGCTAGTGTGAATCCATGCTTTCGGAACAGGTAAAAATGACAGAGACACTTAAAGTTAGATTATGTGAAGTGTATGAGAAGTAAGCATTGATTTTTGATAGAATGATAGTACATGCACAAATGGAAGCCCTAAAACACATGAATTGTTATTGCTTATAATATCAATGGCCAGAGCTGTGAATCTTTCCAATATCACAAACTAATCCAACTTTTGAAAAGGATTAGCGACTGATTAAATGAGACTGCATAATTCATGTTATCCCGACAGATTACCAGCCTATGAAACACGTAAAAGCGATTTTGATATTTCAAGACAAATTAGTTATTAATCACACTACATTAACCTTGGAATTTGAAAAACTGCTTTTCCAAGAAATCTACTATCATTTGGCCATTGTTTGTGTAACTTTATTCTGACCGTGTAAGGCAACAGCACACATAGGATCATAACGATAAATTTGTAAATTATAAATGGCCAACCAATTATGCAGGGAAAAAAAAATGAAACTCCTGCATTCTGCCTCTCATATCTCATGGCTCATGACTCATTAGCATCAACAAGCTAATTAATCAAACCTGATCAAAATTTTGATGGATGGAAGGAGAATATGATCAATCAAAAGGCACGACCTTTGATAAGGATCAGTAAAGAAACCCCTTGAACTGGCTAGATATCTCGAAACAGACACATGCATGTTTTTTTGTGTACTGGGTGTTTTTGTGTACTAGGTAAGAGATGCAGGTTAAGACGACATTTCAAAGTGAATGATTAAATGACCTGTTACTTTTGATATTTCATTTAGGTTTTTGTTCCCAAAGAGAACAAAACAACTTGGGAGAAGGAAGTGGAAAAGAAGTACGTATAGAAAACTCTTTAGGGATTTGTTAACATGGATGCTGGGTATTAATCAGGTATAATTTCTAATGACTAAAACAAGACTCTTCTTTATTGGGCAACCTTGTGCACATTAGCATTCAAATTTGTGGT